AGAGAATTAAATCCCCACACTAGCATGGATAGTAGTGGTGCAACGGGGTGCAGAATCCATGGTATGGATCCCTTCCACATGGTGCGGCACACAGGTGGACCGCGGATTGATTGCAAAATTTGATTTATCCTGTTTGGCCTCTCAAAATATCCTTTATTCTGGAAATGTCAGAGAACCCAGTTAGATTCTGAATGTGCAGAACTTTGAACATGAGCAGGAAACCTGCTGAAACACGGGAGCTATTAAAGTCCAGGAGTTTATAACTGAATTAAAATGATTTAATTTATTACTGATGAGGTAAAAAGGTGCCACATGCACATTGAAAGAGGTTACCTCAATCAGTCACGCCTGCGTGTATGTTGATTCAGCAGTGATAATATTAAAAGTTGATCTACAGGAAAAACATATCTGAAAGCAACCCAGAATGCCTGAGAGCTGCTTTGCATTATATTCTGTTACAGTTTTAGATTTTAAATTGTTTTATTATACCTTTATTAAATCAGAAAAACTCTTTTTCCAAGAATGTCCTGGCCAAGGCAGGCAGCAGCACAATTGCACATTTAAGATGGAAATAAATACAGTTAAAAGGTCATAAAATATCAAAATGTTCTTAAATACTCACCACAGAGAAAAAGTGCAGAAAAACACCAGAATGCAGGAAATTAAGTGTTTAACACTCACAATTTTCTGGGGGAGTAGCCCCAGACCCCCCTGGTGATACTGTTGCAGTTTTGTTCATGACATTACAATTTAGCAACATCAAATTGAGACAGGTAATAGTGTTGCTGTGAGTTTTGTTGTGCCGTATACGTAGAGGATGTTTACTGTTGCTTTACTGCTTTACAGACTTAACTTTGGGGTGGGGGGTGTCAATTATTATGTGAAGATATGAAGTTTTATGGGCTAAGCCCCCAATGTTTCAAGATCCTAAAAACGCCCCTGGTTATGCTCATTTATTTACGTCTTCTTGTTGCACCTTCTTCTTCTGTAATGGTTTAATGGCAAGCAACTGAAAAATTAGTACAAACAAACCAACTCCTAATTAACCCATAACTGTAGAGGTTGGAAACACATTTATTTGCCTTTTGGTTAACATTTGTACAACAATTGGATAGAAACCTAGATTATGGCATTTATCTGGATATGAGAATCTTGCTTTTGTCAACCTCTGTCTGGTATTAAAGACTAATTGTTTAAAAAAATACAAAACATTTTGAGTGGTTAATCTGTCATTCATTGTCAAATCATTGTTCACCAAAGTGACTGAAAACTGGCCACATTACATCCAGTATGGAGTAGGAGATGTTGTTTGTTTGACTCAAATGGTTGCTACCTGCTGTGCACCGACATCTTTTATATTCAGTGCAACACATATCAAAACTGGAATTATTCTATTTGTAAGCTAGTTTGTGTAAATTAATCTTTACTATATTGAAACTGGCAGGATCTCAGAGCAGAATGTTGTCAATCTACTAACTCAAGAAAATTAAATCAATCAGTTGAGGCTCATTGAAGTCAAGGTCCATTTACCTGAACACTGTGTACTGTTTTAAAATCAGCTTCTACTGTCTTCCACACTCTGACCTGCTTCGTGCTTGAACACCACACATCTGTTCAATGACATTTTGCAGTGGGAAAAAAAAATCCACTCAGGCAGAGCTTTTCCGTCCCTCTTTCACATCCCAATGAGTGCCATGTATACCTAATAAAAAATGTACCTACTTAGCTTTAGTGCTAGGTTTTTATCCATCAGAATATCCAAAGACATAAATTACACCATAGTTCTTAGAATAAGAGTAGACGATATTTTAAATCACTATATACAGTACATCATGTAGTATTAAAACTACATGCACATTAAAATCATTGTTTTGTTTGTTGCTGCTATACAGCAGTGTCTTTGCCGTTCGTTTTCACAAAAAAACAAATGAAGATGCTTTTTTGTTCTGTAGCTAGAGTACTGGGAACAACCAACAGTACCAAGTCAGCTTGCAGTAAACACGGTGGTGCCAGTAGTGTCAGCTGTGTGGGCTTTATGGCCTATTTGTGCCAAACCAGTAGTCCAGGTGCTGGTGCTGCTGGTGAACCAGTTGAACATCTCAAGTAAAAAGATGATGCATGTTTGAGCCAATGAGTTACTCCATATTCATTCACCATCTGGTCCGCTAAAGTGAAATCCTCACATGAGCACCCTGCATTAGTGAAAGCGTTTCTCTCTCTCTTACACACACACACACATACACAAATTGTTGTGTTACCATAGCAACCAATCTCTCAAAATCTACTTCAAGAAAAAAGTGTGTTTAAGTTGTGGATGTGGAAACTACTTGTGTATACTGATCCAAACACACCATTACAAGGTTTCTGACACAAATTTTCCATTTGCACCGACACAACAGGGCACACTCTGGTCCACTGTCCTAGTTTTCCTGCTGCGCTGTTAAATGGCACTTGTGATACCAGGAAATTGGAGCTGTGTGAGAGCTCTGTGTTTTCCAGCCTCCAGGTCATAAATCTCTGGCTGTATGTTTCTACAATAAAGCAAGGAAGGGTGCGTGACTTTTGCAAACTGATATATAGAACATCTATTCGGTTATTTGTTGACAGATTTGGTGAAGAATTTACATACTACTAACAAAACACTGTCAGTACATGGTCATATGATGAACTGTGATAACATTCACATGATTCATGGCCATATTTCATGGCCAGCAGGGCTGAATAATTTTTTTTCCCCACAGAGAATCACTGCTGTGTATTCAGAAACAACTCATCAATTTCTACTCAGCTGACAGAACAGCGGTGAGTCAGAAAGGCTTAAAGTACGCTGAAACAATTTTAAACGACACAAAGGAGATCATGTCCCCATTCATCACTGAGATAAACAAGATACTTGCTTGGCTCACTGAGTGGTTGCTGTTGTGTCACAGGCATCAGGTGAATCTAGAGTACGCCTCAACAGTTTCCGTCATGACCTGGACCAAAATCCTCAGAGACAAGAGCCAATGGACGAGAAAAACTACTTCTGTCTGAAACATGTCAGAGGCTGAGTGTTTCCTCTACCCAGTGAAAATGACCTTTTCAGCAATCACAGCGAGAATTTCTATTTTTAAATGCTGTTTTCTGTTTTGACCTCTATAAACCCTTTTCACTTCAGACTGTATCATGAACATAGTGGAACAGGAGGAGTGCAGGATTGGGACTAATGTGAGAGTTGTACGTGATATGCTGAGCACAGGTTTAATTATGTAATTGCACTTATAACACTGTACTGAAGGTGGCAGATTTTTTACTTTTTGATCATTGTGAAACCTGTTTTCACTAAGGCAACAAACGAGTGCAACTTTAAATAACTGATGCTCTTCGCCTTAGTGACTACAGACACTTTGAAACACTAATTCAGGTGAGGCACTCAGTGTGTTTAGGTGTCTGTATTACTGCGCAGTATGATGCAGTACACGGAGTAATCTTCACAGAATCTTCCAGACTCATATCTCCTCCAATTACTGTGAACATAAGCAGATTAGGTCATTCACATGTTAACAATATGTCTTTGCGTTTTGCATAAATATGAGCTCCAGATCCTGTTTAAAGCTTTAAGTACTTGACAGTAGTTGTCCTCGTGAACTTGCAAATATATGCAGCAATATGCCACAACTGATCAGATCAATGCATACTTTTGTTCAATAGAAATGCTCACTTCACAGCATCAGCGATGAATTTTTGCATATATATTTTGCATTACTGCCATCTGATAATATAATTAGGTGTTTGGTGACACATGCTGACTGGAGCAGGTTGAACAGGTGTTGTCCAGTGGCTGAACGCCTTTTGGTCGTGCTTATTAAATATTACTGACCCAATGGTTTAGGTTAGTTTGTGTCACGACACTCTGCTTTCCAATACAACATTTCAACTGCTGCCATTGTTGGTCACATCATGCAGCTCAATGGACCTCGACAGTGTCTCTCCTCATCATGCAAATGGAAGCAAAGGCAAAAGTACTGAAACAAAAGGAGAAAGCGCCAGATTTTTCATGACAATTGAATGAATCAGTATACTAAGTAGAAAAACAGCAGAGGTCTCTTGTAATAAACAGCTATGACAGCTGATCATATATGAAGTGTCACTGCCATCTGCTGTGCAAACTCTGAATGACTCGTACTGCAACTTTTTAGCCGTAATTAACAAAATGTCAGAAAATGTTCAAAAATATTCAGTTTACAATGTTAAACACAGCAAAAGAACCAGATCCTCTTACTTGAGAAATGTAACCCATTTCCCCCATGATAAATGACAACAATTATCTATTACTAAATTTGTTGCAGATAGATTTTTCTGTTGAACTATAAATCAATTAATAGATTGTTTCAGCTCTAGCTGCAAGAAAGTACAGCAGGAGTGAAAACGTTAATATAATATATTAATATACAGAAATACATTTCAAATGTATCAAGGCAATAACCAAGTAATGGAAACAATTGGGAAACAATTATAATTGTTACAAAGTTATTGAACACCAGAATGTATTTAAGGCAGGTGCATCCAATCAAAAACTTTTACGGTCAAAAAAAACAAAAAAAACCTCTTAAGTCTTGTACATCACTGATCTCTTGTACTTTATCTACAGTGTTTCAATCCTGAGAGTATCATCATGATGAGGTTTACCTGATTAGATTCTGAGAGACAAAATGTAAAAAAGTGCGTACAAGTGATCAATGTGCGGAAACAACAAATTCAGCATTGTCAATCTCAGCTTCATGTGGTCAACACAGCGATATATAAACACTGTATTTTGCTAAATAAAACTGGCCAAGTGTATCAGAAAGAATCCTGAGCATTCGTCTGTAAACAATCTTGAACCCCTCCTGCTGAAAAGCTGAAAACATTTATTACCGTATTCCACTTCACAACTCTAATGGACTTGTTGATTTGCCGAAATAACAGACGTCTCAGTGTTAAGTATGTCTTCAAATCTGAATGAACTGTGCGATTCAAAATTCAGAGTGCATCTTTGAAATTATTTATTAATATTCATACAAGTTAATATAACGGTTTCATGATTAGCATATAAAATATGTACAAAGCAAATCATTAGTAAAAATGACAGATCCTGCTGGGAAAGTATGTGCTTATATAGTAGAAGGCGGCAATGTCTCAGCAAATTTCCAAGAGTATTTCTTCTTTTAACAATCATTGATCCTGGATGTTGATATCCTAGATGTGCAGTTTCTAGTAGATCATTAGCACAGCTTGAAGTCTAAATGGTGGTTGGAGATTAAGAAAGGCTGCAGCTGGACTGTTTGGACTCTCTCCCCTAAACAAAGAGAAAATACAGTTAGAAACAAAGACTCTTATAATCCCATGAGTTTCATATAATAATAAAAAATGTATCAAAAGGCAAATTAGTCTTTCATCTTATGACAACAGTTCAAAGAGGACATGACAACAGTGTACCCACATGCGTTCCTGTTAGCATGCTAGTGATGGCTAAGCTTTCCGCGTACCTGTTGTATCTGCTGCTGACGTCTGTATTCTTCTTCACTGGCAGCGAGAGCCTGAGCGAGAGCCAGATCGTCCTGCTCCTGAGGGCTGAGATGCAAACCAAAAAACTCAGACTCACACACGGAACCTAAGTTAAACCTGGATTTATTGATAGTAACTGTTTTTATTCATACAGTACATTTAACTTGATGATGACGATGTGTGTGTTTACATAAACAGCAATGGTGATAAATCGACTTCCCACAACTTCAGATTTACCATTGAAAGCTCCAGAACAGTTAAACTGTTTGAGGTTGTCTTTGTCGATTGGTCATACTTGTTCACAAACCCCGGCTTATGCGTAAACCTGAGACTGAGCACTCACACATATATTTCTGTTGCATTTCCAAGAAAAACTGCCTACTTAGGTATGTCAATTTAATGGATCTTTGCTTCTGCTTACACTGATGTTGAGCTGATAACAGGATATTTCTGGGATTACGGCTTTTGATAATGTTTCCTCACCTAAGGTCTGGCTGAACCGTTGGCTGAATCGAATCAGCCAAAGACATCTCCAGAGCCCTTTGTAAAGCCTGCTCCTCCGTCTGCAAAGACAGCATGAGCAGCACACACGTGACATTTTCCACGCAACGGTGAATTTTTTTTTATCAGGTAATGTCATGTAAATAATGCACATACCATGCTGGCCTGAAATGATGCTGATGGTGGGATAACATTCTGTGCTGAAACGGAAGTAGGGATCCTCTGAGTAGAGCTAGAAAAAACAAACAGGACAACAAAGGAGTGAATTAGTATTTTAGATGTCTATATAAACAAACAATTTTAATAAATAGATGTGCTCACCCGCTGTTGTGGCCTCTGTTGTTTGCACTCAGACCATTAGAAACAGGTCTAGAGCGTCCTGAAGCAGATGAACTAGAACCAGAGGCAGCGGAGGAAGCACCTTGGGCCCTCATTGCAGCAGCATGTCTAAAACAAAACATAAAATCATTCTTGCATTGACATTTCTCAGATAAAACAACAGTATCTGAAGGTGCAGTGCGAATGTACCCACCGTGGTTTGGACAGAGGTTTCCCATCAGTTTTACAATCATGGTCTAGTGGGTGCCGGTGTTTAAGACAGTAATTTAAACGACACTGGTCACAGGTCACTCGTATCATTTCCTTCTGCTTACAGCCTCCTTTAGAACATTTATTTGTGAAAATCTGAAAGGAAAAAAGTGTCTGTTATTGTTGTTTAGATTCTAACTGACTGCAAGGTGAGACACCTCTATTTGGTTTTATATTAACCTTTCTCTTTCTCTGTGCAGGGTCCGATTTGCAATCCCGATCAATGTGTTCCCCGACTTTAATGTCGGGAATCTCTCCTCTCTTGATGGGAATAGGGATGTTGCACAAAGGACACACTGGGACCTGGACATCCTACAGGAAAAACAAAATCAAATCAAATTAATTTATTATTGAAACAGCATCTTGACACAAAATAACACAAACTAGGGAATATATTAAGTCCAATGGGTAATAAAGATAATCAAAATTTGCAATGCGATTTGTTTTAGTGGACACTATTGAACTATTTATTTATGTTCACTAATACACCATGATGCAATCAGAAATCATACACTGTTTTCCTCAGGTTTACAGCAATGAAACTGTAATCCTAAAAAAACAGGTTAATAAAATGTTCATTTAGTTTCACATGTGCGCACATTCTTACATAAAAAAGGCAAACAACTGAATTGAACATGCAGGTGAACATGCAAAATGCTAACCACAGTTCAAAAAGTTGTACTGAAAATAGATCATTTACCTTTTTGTAGGATGAGGTGCATTTGTGATTTGCATAGGTAATGTGGTCCTTGCAGAAAATCTCTTTACAGGCATCACATCTCATAGGAAGAAAATCTGCAAAAATCACATGGTTTTAAATTCCATGTTTACGTCAGGCTGGGGAGGATAAACACGCAGTAGCCATGATTTATCTTTCCCAGACAGTGCTCACCTAAACGCTTGCAGGTCTTCTCAGAGCAGTGCTCTCCCAAATCTGGAAACTCCATCGCAGAAATACCTCTACAACTGACAATGGTGAAATCTAAACAACCTGAAGGAAGGATAAAATAATGTGTTTAGTATTTTAAGCCACACTGTCACTTATGAGGTTCTGACTATGTGAACACTGAAATGGGTGGACCCACTGCATGCTAGCAAGCGTTTCCTGTGGCATTCAAAGTCAAGTCATCGTGAGTTTTAAAAATTGTAAGCTCATGACTAACGTTAAGTATACAATATTACGTCAGCTCCGAACCGCTGCTGGCTAACGTTAGCTTTCAGAAGTTATCTCGGTCTAGAAAACAATGGTAAACGAAATGTTATGAGACCATCCAAGCAGACTGCCAACCTACTAGCTAACGTTAGCTAGGCCAGGTTATTTTACACGATTAGTTAGGCTGGTTACGTAACTTACTTACAGCTCACCTTGTTACGATCGTGTAGCAGAGATACAACTTAACAACGAACAGGCGTTTCGGTAATGTTACTGTGACCAAACCAGCATAATAACATGTTTCACAATTCGTGACGAGTAAGACTTGTTTATTAGCCACACAAGTGCTAACAGCTGACATTAGCATGTGTATTTGTAAGCAATACGCCAACCTCAAGTTATAGCTACCTTGTATATAAAGTATTATTAAATGGGTGCACTTTCTCTCTCTCTCTCGACTAAACCACATGAATAAACACCGTTAAGATGACGTTTCAGTTGGTTTTGCTGCCCAACGTTAATCAAACTATCTATTAGCTTACTAAGCTAGGTTAGCTAGTTCTTTATTTTGTACTCACCAAATCTCGTTTTCTTGTCCGTCTGTCGTGTTATAGCAGGAGAACACAACGTTATCTTAAATTAGCCTAGTTAATTTTGATGTTATTGTGCCTTTTTGACAGTAAGCACAGATCCCTGAGCACCGCCTGTCTCTTGGCCGCTGAACTGTCTGTTTTCATTAACTTTTGATGTGTCACGCACGCTCAGCAACGTCATCTTACGTCAGGAAAAACGCACGTGACCGCAGATGTAGTTTTAGAAACGGTGGAATGCAGTCAGTGGGTGGAACTGACCATAGAAAAGACAAGCAGAGTCCGGAAAGATCCAGACTCACCTGGCAGTATGTATACCCATACAAGAAATTATCTGGTTATTCATTGCTCTCAATGTACACATATCTTACATAGACATAACAGTTAAGAACAAGGACAACAAAACTGAACAAATAAAGGTAAAATAATAGACAGGATCTACACACATATGTGAAAACTATGGTGAAAACAGAATAAAGCGATTTTTAAAGGGTACTATGAATTATTAGTCACTTCAAGTAACTATTCGTTTTAACATTAACAATTGATTAGATCCTAGTAGGCCTACTTACTTTTTAGTTACCAATCAATTGCACATTTTTGCCATTGAACACTATGGGGCTCTGCAGTTCAGATATCACCTTTTATTTAGTAAGAAGTAGCCTAACTAATTGATTAGTAATAATTAGTAACCAATTCCATTTAACTACTCACTGTTATTTAGCTACTGACTAGTAACTATTACATTCTTACTGGTAAGAATTAAAATGTTACAATCAACAAGTCATTTTACTAGTTATAAATGAATGACTAGTAACCCCCAAAAATGTACAAGTAAGAATGAAAATGTTAGTATCTTTTGGAATAATTACTAGTAACTAGTGAATAGGTAATAGTTTCCTAATAATAGATACTAGTAAAATGGTAATAGTTACATAACTAATGAATAGATGATTTCTGAACTGCAGAGCCCCATAGATTTCAATGGTTCACACCGACCACTGGTCGCTACCACAGTCTCTAAGGGAAGGCTCCTTTCTGTTCCTTGTCACACAAACTGTGGCTGTATTAAAAAAGGTCAGTTTCAAGTTTTTATACAGTCTATGGTTCCAAAGTAGACCTAAAGAGACCTTAGATCATTTAAATTATCTCAACTGGCAGATGATACATTTTTTTTTGTCTAATAGAGAGGAATGGATCAAAGCAATTAGATGTGTTGAGGAATTTTCTACTGTATCAGGCTTAAGAAGGAACTTGAACAAATCTGTTTATTAGGCTACCACTTAAGGAGTTATCAGAAGTTAATGGTATCCCTGTGAAGAACCCAGTTACACACCTGGGTGTGATAAGAATGAAAAACTCTGCAATAACCTAAAATTCAGCCCTATGATTAAACAAATAATGAGAAAAGGTTCAACATGTGGTGGATGAGGCATCTTTCACTGAATGGTAGAGCTCTACTATCTAATACTGCGGGAATATCCATATCTATGTATCCTTATCACTGGAAATGCCTACTGAAATATACAAAGAATTAGATAAGATCTTATTTAATTTCATTTGGAGGAACAAATGTCATTATTTAGGGAAAGATACCCTATGCAACATAAAATATTTTTTTTAGGTTTTAAGCTTTGAAACCTTAAACTATATTACTTTAAAATACTTTCCAAAGTTAAATGGCTAACTAAGTTGATAAAATGGCCTGGAAATGAAGAGATAGTATTTTATGAGAATATAGGCATAATTGATAATGTTGTATTTATCAAAGTATTGTGATCTAGATAGATGTATTAGCCTACTGTAGATTGGCTACAACCACACAATATACTGTACGCCTACAGTGCATCAATAAGATATAATAGAGTATATTTTATTATTATAAGATGTGCTCAATTGGATTCAGATCTGGGGAACGGGCGGGCCAGTCCATAGCATCCTCTTGCAAGAATTGCTGACACACTCCAGCCACATGAGGTCTAGCATTGTCTTGCATTAGGAGGAACCCAGGGCCAACCGCACCAGCATATGGTCTCACAAGGGGTCTGAGGATCTCATCTCGGTACCTAATGGCAGTCAGGCTACCTCTGGTGAGCACATGGAGGGCTGTGTGGCCCCCCCAAATAAATGCCACCCCACACCATTACTGACCCATCACCAAACCGGTCATGCTGGAGGATGTTGCAGGCAGCAGAACGTTCTCCACGGCGTCTCCAGACTCTGTCACGTCTGTCACATGTGCTCAGTGTGAACCTGCTTTCATCTGTGAAGAGCACAGGGCGCCAGTGGTGAATTTGCCAATCTTGGTGTTTTCTGGCAAATGCCAAACGTCCTGCACGCTGTTGGGCTGTAAGCACAACCCCCACCTGTGGACGTCGGGCCCTCATACCACCCTCATGGAGTCTGTTTCTGACCGTTTGAGCAGATACATGCACATTTGTGGCCTGCTGGAGGTCATTTTGCAGGGCTCTGGCAGTGCTCCTCCTGCTCCTCCTTGCACAAAGGCGGAGGTAGCGGTCCTGCTGCTGGGTTGTTGCCCTCCAACGGCCTCCTCCACGTCTCCTGGTAGCGCCTCCATCCTCTGGACACTACGCTGACAGACACAGCAAACCTTCTTGCCACAGCTCGCATTGATGTACCATCCTGGATGAGCTGCACTACCTGAGCCACTTGTGTGGGTTGTAGACTCCGTCTCATGCTACCACTAGAGTGAAAGCACCGCCAGCATTCAAAAGTGACCAATACATCAGCCAGGAAGCATAGGAACTGAGAAGTGGTCTGTGGTCACCACCTGCAGAACCACTCCTTTATTGGGGGTGTCTTGCTAATTGCCTATAATTTCCACCTGTTGTCTATTACATTTGCACAACAGCATGTGAAATTGATTGTCAATCAGTTAATTATCTTTCACAGACAATTATGGGGCCAAGTTGTGTGGTTGCATTATCAAACACTAAGTTATGTTGGGGAGAAAACATCCCCTTCTAAAACTTTCAGGGTAAAACCTCAACACTCCGTTGGGGTTTGTTGTTCATTAATACACTGCAACGTTTGCTAACTGAGCTAGCTTACTGAATGTTAAAGCTAATTTTGTTTTGTAACTTTTCCACATTACGTGTTCTTGCGTTTGCTGCTGTCTAGTGGTGACAGTGCAGAACGGCAACACAAGATCAATACAGATATAATGCACTTCCTGTGAGTACTTTTCAAATAAACCAACCTGAAACTAGTAAAATTATATTTCTTTTCTCATCTTGATCATATTGTTGCTACAGATTAAAAAAAAATCACTGCCGAATGTTCTGGGTGTGTATGTGTATTTATAGCCTTTGAATACGCTCATAAATAACTGTATATAGCCTATTGTTTTATTTTATTTATTTTAAATGTTTCCGTATTTTAATAAACAGTTAATTATCTGTTAAGTTATATGCATGAAGCATGAAGGGACTACAAACCTTTGTTTCGTTATACATGAAATAAACAACCTTGTAATCTTGGATGTTATTTTATATTATTCTGATTATTGCTGTTACAATTCCTTAGAGATTTCAATAAATATATTCTCAGTCATATTGCAACTGTAATGGTCTCAGTACTGAATGAGCTTGGATTAGCAAATCTCCCATCTGGGCTTCTCTTGAGTATAGAGCAATAAAATGACACTTCTCTCCAGCGTTTTCATTTTAAATACAGATTTACATTACATAAAGACACCACTTGTTATGAATTTTGTTTCCGGCTCTGTCCGTTTTACCCTCTGTGAATGCCTTCGGAAAGATGCTTGTATTTTAATTAATTTGCAACTACTGCTCTTGTTGTCAGTCACAGCAACATATAAGACTGATACATTTCCATACATTTGACAAAGCGATCTCAAATCAAGGTCCACTTGTCTGCTTTTTTCAGAGCCCCCAAATAATATTACACAGTCTTCATCATCGGCTGCAGTTTTCCACAATTGTCATTGACATGGATTGGTCTGTTAAGCTCAGTAGTAGTAAGTGGACTTTTAAGTAGGGATCATTATGTTTAATCTTAATGTGGTAATGTATTTTGTAAAGTAAAATATTCATCTTCCGTTGGTGAGCAAGACCAGCATCAGTGGCTGGTGTTCTGCGCACAATCTGGCATGCACTGGCAAAACATATAATCCGTTGCACATATTACCCTATGCAGATGTAAATTGATGGCTGGGCGAGTAAGCTCTGTGAAGGGCTGGACTGTTTTCATTGGAGCAGTACTTTACCTCTTCTGTACACATCTGCAAGCTGGAGTAGAGGTGGGGCCATGAGGAAACTTCACCAAGTCTCATGAATTGAAATTCAAATTTTATTCTGTACTTTCCAAAAAGGCTTAGTGTTGTAGCAGTATTACTGGACTTCTGGGATCAGACTTATGTTAAGCATTAATGGGTCACTGAGCACCCGGACCCCTTCATGGTGTCAATAATTAGTGCTCCCATGGGATGAGGGGTGAATATAAGGGGTGGGAAACGTAATGTGTGTATATGTGTGTGTGTTCAAATATTTTTACTCAGAGAGGCAGAGTTTCCCATTGAGCGGGCAGAAAGACAGTAGTTTACTGCTGAGCTTGCTGCTTAATAGAAGGCCAGTTGGCAGCTGCAGGTACTTGTGGGCTCCTGCTGGTTTAGCCACAGTTTGTTTTAGGAGGTAAATCTGCTCACTGAACCTTGCAATTATTCTTTTTCTCATTATCATTAGATGGACAGCGTGTGAGTGTTGCATTGTGGGAGACACATTAAGCTGGTAGTTAACATTTTGTACCTACAGTATTGCTAGGGAGTGGAAATAAGTGAGTGTGGGAATGTCATGTAAAAGTTCCTTAAACCAGAATTAAACTAGAACTAGAATTTATTTCTTTAAAAAAAAAAAGGCCTCCCTAGGCCACAATGCCTGTACAGTGCATAGTCATCGACTTTAACAATAACTATATGAACTGCCTCAGTGGGGCTTGCAGAGTTGCATTACTAGACTCTTTAATTCTGCACATACTATACAACTTCCTCCACAATGCTCTAGTTATGTCATGTATATGATCTAAGTGTTGTAATTTGTTTATAGCAGATGTTATTTACATTCATTATCACATAGAGATCACATAGAATAGCCTAAATGTGCGTGATTAGGT